CACGTACATGAAAATAAATATTTCCAAGGATTCTTTTGTACTGTAAATACTTACCATATTGATCAAAGTAATGTCGGTTTGTATAAAAATATCGCTTCAATCTGCAGTTCAACCAACGAATTCGGAGTTCAACAAATAGCGTCGAAACGTCCAAATGACACAACAAAGCAAGAAAGGTTAAGTTAAACATTTAGTTCCCCAATTAACCGCTTAACAGGCCGAAATCGAGCAGTTAATTTAACGGCCAATTAGAAAATTTTAACTGGCTGATTAGAGATTATGAAATCCATTCAATCGTTAAAATCTCGATTGAATTTAACTGGAGAATTAATTTTGATTATGAAACCGGCCCTAAGGATTGTAGAGGTCCATAAGTGCCCGCTTAAGCGGCGTATGCATTGGCTCCTTATGGTGGCTGGAATGCCTCTAATTTCAAGATTAATTCATTCATTCATATGTTCAGAAAAGCATCCTTAATCCTTTCTTTCATATTTTCCGGGGTATATGGTGGTTACCTATAAACCTCTTGCTTAACGTAGCCCCATAGAAAGAAGTCCACGGTGTCAGATCTGGTGATCTAGGACGCCAATCATGACCGATACAAAGATTGTTACTCCAGGTGTCCAAATGGTTACGCGCACGATTATGATAATGCGCAGGTGCGCCGTCATGTTGGAGGTACATATGCATCCGAGTTTGCAGGTTGACATCCTCCAAAAGCAAGCTCGATCAAAAAATTCAAGTATTCTGTACCTGTCAAAAAAGAACGGCCCGATATTTTGTTTGCCAATAATACCTCCCCAAAAATTCAAGCTTCATTTATTTTCGAAATCTATTTGCCTAACCCAGTAAGGGTTTTCCGTCGCAAAATAGTGCATGCTATGCCTGTTGACAACACCTATGCTGTTAAAAGTCGCCTCATCGCTAAAAAAACCTTATCCAGGAAGGCCTTGATTCAAGCATAGGTGATATGGATGGTACCTATGCTTGTGAATAATCCTTTGGATAGAAGTTATGCATACCTGTATCAGTTTCTGCTCCAATTTGCCGTTTGGTCTATCCAAATATGCAATAAAATTTGAGGCATTCCATCTTAAAATCACAACTTTGATATGTATGTCGAAATTGGGACACCATGTATAATGTATAATAACTGATCGACTGCATATATAACAAAACTATATTTGCCATTAATTGACACCTTGCAAATGTCAATACATTTATTTATTTATATACAGTTTGGGGTGTTAACAGGTAAACCCAACACACACCCTCAGTGAACTAAAACTAAACTTACATAAAATATCGTATACATATACGAGTACATATATTACATTATTGAATACTTCAATATTAATATTTTTTTATCCTCCGATATAAACTGAGTCAGTAGTTCTAATTATAAGCAATTAACTATTAATTTAACTTTTTTAATAAAAGGAGTATACATAATTTAACACTTACTTACGTTTAACTAAAACTGAAATCAAAATTAAATTGAAATTATACCAGAAATGATATTGGAGGTGATAACTTGAGTTATGTAAAAAAATAAAACATTTATATTTTAGTCTGCCATAGAGCTGTAATACTCATACTTTAAAGCCTTTTTCAGGGAGGTCAAGCTAATGTTAAATAAATCTATATTACAGAAATCATTATGATTTTTTTGAGCCCTGAACAAAGGGGAATTAAGACCAAGATTGGTTCTACGGAACGGTATTCTAAACAGATGATAGGTTCTAAACGTTCTATCAGGAGTGTTAAAGTTCAAGTTTGCCAAAAGATCCGGACAGTCAGTGAGGCCATTCAACAATTTATGGACACAGCAAATGTCAGAAATCGTTCATCTATCTTTTAAGGAAATCATATACTGTTTCATAATTTGCGTATAATGACGATCTGTAACAGGTTGGTGAGTTTTATGTGCTAACATCTTCAAAAATTTGTGTTGAATTCTTTCTATCCTGACTATATGTACATTGTAAGACGGATTCCATATTACTGATGCAAAAATCAGTTTGTTGTGTATATAAGCGTAGTACAATGAAATAAGCATTTTTGGGTTCGTAAATTCTCTGCATGTTCTGTTTGTGAACCCTAGTGTTCTATTTGCATCATTTACGATGTGCTCTACGTGGGTGATGAATGAGAGTTTCTCATCAATGTATACCCCTAGGTCTTTTACTACATGAAGCTTTTCCAGTTCTGCCGTCCCTATCTTATATCTGAAATCTATAGTGTTCGCTATGTTTCTAGTAAGCCTCATGTAATGACATTTTGTTAAATTCAGGAAGATACTGTTTTCAGTGCAATACTTTTCCAGAGATTCCAAATCGCTTTGAAGTTTTACACCGTCATTTACATTTCTAACAATACTAAATATCTTTAGATCATCAGCATATAACAAATATTTACTGAAATGAAAAACAGAAGTAAGGTTGTTCATGTATATGTTAAATAACAATGGTCCTAAGTGACTACCTTGTGGTACGCCTGAAGTTACTAAGAATGTCTCCGAACGATACCCATTGATAGTCACCACTTGTTTACGATTACTTATATACGATGCTAGCCACTGCCATAATGGACCATCTACACCCACCTCAGCAAGTCTCTCCATCAAGATAGAATGATCAATCTTGTCGAAAGCCTTACTGAAGTCGGTATAAATAACATCCACCTGCAGTTTCTCATCTATAGCGTGAGAGGCATATTCTATAAAACTCATCAAATTCGTCTCTACAGATCTTTTAGGGAAAAATCCATGCTGGTGTTCCGTAATGATATTTTTTGTAATGTTTAAGATAGGATCATAAATCAGCTTTTCAAAAATTTTTGAGAAAATACAAAGTTTAGTGATAGGTCGATAATTTTCCACAAGATGTCTATCGCCTCCTTTATGAATAGGCAATATTTCACCTTCTTTCCATCTCGTTGGAAAGACTCTTTGAGTTAATGATAGTTTGAAAATTAGGTGAAGTGGTAAACATGGCCAATGGCCAATATTATAAAAATGTGCCCTAAAATGTCATGTATAACATCCCATAAATAGATTTTCCCAAAATGTATTTGTTTATGAGTAATATTACGTCCACGCATGGATGTGCCACCCTGTATACGAATATTTGTATGTTATATAACATGTATATCACGAAAAACCATGTCACTCGTTTCCATCGGTCTGTCTGTCTGTAATAATAATAATAATAAATTGCTTTTATTGCTCATGTAAGTACAGAAAAAGAAAAAGTACATAAATCTAATGCAGTGAGCAAACGGCAAGGTTCGCTTGATTGACAAAATCCGCGCTCTTCCACTTAACCAAAAAAAAAATAAATAAAGTAGTATATCAGTAACAATAATAATAGCAAGAGAAAATTTAAACGTTAACACAGATACATATAGACATATTATGTTTTAAAACTATATATTATATTATACATCCATAGATGACATATAACTGTTGCAGGCACCTTGGTAAAACCTATAATATAAAACGAGTTGATGCTTGAATGAGATTGCTAGAAGTTGTAGCTAATATCTTATTAAGGGAAAATGTCAAAGATCAAACGAAAAAGACTCCTTGACTTTGTCTGGTTTCTGGGCAACCAGGACTGACAGATTCGAATAACGTACATCAGACATTGAGTAATGGGCAAAGGTCCTATGGACCGCCCAGACAAATAAATGACGAATAGTACGAAAAATACATACAGAAGAATAATTGGCAAATCAGCGTGCGGTGTTAAATTTAAGTCATCTCAAGTCTCAACATAGTCTTCACTTCTCGCTTAAATCTCAAAATTGATAGGGCTTTAATTCTATCAGGCAGCGAGTTGTAAACCTTAACAATGTCATATGAAAAAGAGCACTTATAATTTGAAGTTTTAAATTTAGGTAGTGAGAGATGATGTTTAAACCTCGTGTTACGACTATGTACTTCTGTAAGGGTCTTGATCTTCTTGTAAAGATAGGATGGTGATTCAGTATTGAGTATCTTGTGGTATAGTACGGATCGATGAAGGAACCTTCTTTTCTCTATATTGAGCCAACCTAAGTTCTTTAAGTGAAGAGATATCGGCTGCCGCCTTCTAATACCACTAACAAACCTGACACAAGAATTTTGAATACGCTGAAGGCGCGCCTTATCTCGATGTAGCAATGACAGGCCGTACGCGCAGTCTGCATAGCTGAGGTGAGAAAGAACTCGCACAATATTATTTTTGTTGTCTTGGTTATTATGCTTCTGCTATTGTATAGCAGTTTCAATGATGAAAATGCCCTTTTGGTTATAAGAGAGACATGCTGGGAAAAGCGTAGCTGTATCCAAAATAACCCCTAAATTTTTAGCGGAGTTTGTAAAAGTTATTTTGTCTTGTCCGAAATAAATGTCTAAATTATTGGAGTATAGTTCACGATTCTTGTTTTTACCAAATAGTAGAGCCTTAGATTTAGTGGCGTTGACGTGGAGACAATATTTTTTTGTTAGCTGATAAAGAACCTGAAGGTCCTCATTTATGTTACTTAAAGTTCGGTTTATATCTGATTCATTAAAAGCAATATATAATTGAGTGTCATCGGCGTAATAGTGATATGAGACGTGTTTAAAACTTTTGTGCAGCTGAGAGGTATATAGAGTGTACAAGAGTGGACCTACAACAGATCCTTGAGGTACACCTCGACAAAGTTTAGACAATTCGGATGTTTCACCAAAGCATTTGACAACTTGTGCCCGATCTTTGAGATAATTTCTTAATAAATGAACCGCACTTTTAGAAAAACCCAAGTAGTGAAGAACAGCAGTCATTAGATCATGGTTTAGCTTATCAAAAGCCTTCGAAAAATCTAATAAGATTAAGATGCATAGGTTGCCATCATCAATGTATTTGCGGATATCTTCTGCAAAAAGCTTTATAGTTTTTGAAAATCAGTCTAGTCACCCCAAACTTCGTTTTTTGACGCTTTAGAGGGTCCTGATCATTTTCATACTTCATGAACTGATGACAGCGTTGCGCACGAAATGCAGAGTCTATCTACTTGACGATATTTCTCGTATAGCGTGTTGCAAAGCATAGGCGTTGAGAATTTGGAAGCCAGGAAGAAAAATAAACACAAGAGAAGTGAAAAATATATTTCTAATGTATATTGATGAACATTTTTAATATAATTATCATAACATAAACTGAGAAGTATAAAATGGGGCTTAAAACGATTTACCTGAAGGCACAAGCGATAAAAAATACTGTTTGAATTGTCTTTTCAATACATTTGCCCTATATTTTTCCTTTAGAATCCAAATTCAGGCAAAAGTTAAGTTAAATTTTTATTCCTTAAGATATAAAAAGTAAGGTTAGTTTTCTATAGTTGCAGTGCTCAGTATTTGGTCGAAATACCTTGAAGTTATAGGGAGTTATTGAACGTCCAATATAGTCAGGCGCTAATAATTCCTGGCTGTGTTTGACATTTGAGTAGGCGCAGTAAAAGAAAAATAAGAGTTGGATTTAATAAAGTTAGTGCCTGCTACTATTATAGGACGCTTAAAATGGTGGCACAGCAAATAATCTTACTTTTTATAGTGGTTTGTAGAGATAAAGAAATTATATACATATTGCCGTTTTCTCGCTATCAATTTGTACTTTACTGTTTGCTGATTGTAAGTTTAATTTGTGAAAATCATCCCGCCTCCTAAAATAGCTGCTTCTAAAACTAACTCCATGACAAATTTAGTAGCTAAATCACCAAAAAATGATGTAAAGCCAGAAGGAGTACAAAAAACAATATCAAAACTTTATAATTGTTGGAATAAAATTATAGAATTGGTAGACTTTTAAATAAGATAGATGCATTTTATTTTACATTTTTAGGTTAGAAATCTCGTCATCTGTGCCCGGAAATGCACCCAGTACCAATAGCCGCAAAATATATACACAGGACCGATAACTCTATTTCTGAAACAATTTTAAGATCAATTTCTACTTGTCACTATTATGGTAAGGCCGGAATTAATAGTGTATGTCAGTACTTCAATAACTCCTTATTTAGAGCAATGCTGCATTCAATTTATTTTCGTAAGGTCCAACCAAACTCCTCCGCTGACGCTCAAAATAGGCGACCGTCGGCAGTACACTAATGGGTATAATGTTTTCTTGTTCAGAGCCACTTTGTATTGACTCAGAATCGTGATTAAACCAATCTTGGACTGCATCTTGCCGAACCTGAGACCTGAAAAAAATAATAGCACAATTTTTGTAGATTGGTATGTTTTGCTGTCTGTTGAAATAACGCGCTGCAAATGACGCGCGTCTAGCGTTAGGCTTAGCTCAGATACCGTGGCGCGGGCTTGTTGGATCGGTGTTCACGTAACGTACGTACAAATTTTATATACAGGGTGTTTCAAAAAGACGTGCTATTATTTCTACGGTCGAAAGTACGTCCAAAAATAGCAAAAAAAACAATAATCCTTACAAATATGGGTGCAAAGATGCTCCCTCACCGAGATACAGGTTGAAATTGAAAAAAATATATCAACGCTATGGGTAAAGAGACGATTTAAGATGGTCAGAATGAGCAATAAACACACTAGGTTAAACTAAAGTATGGTTTTAGAAAGTGGGGTATCTGGAGACATGATAGGAAATATTTTCTACGCCACTGACCTGTCCAAGGAGCAAGTGCATTTTATAAAATACTGTTCAATTTTCCACAACTTTTGTCTCTCAAGCAATGTTTGTCACATCACTCGTTTTGGATATATTTATACTTGAATATTGAAAATATTATCATGCTTCCACACACGCAATGGAGGAAACAATACAACAGTCCAGGTCAGATAAAAAAAAAAGGTGAAAAAAAGCTAAGTAGATATCTGAAAAATTTAAATAAGGGTCTTTCTAGTGACAAATACATAATAAAATACATCCAGATCTGCGTTGTTTTTTTATAAACAGTGGTAAAAGCCCAAAATTTAGTATTTTGCCTGTGTAATTTTCTAATTGAATTTTATAAATAACCAGTAAGCTGGAGATTTTGAAGCATAATAAGACCTTCAATTTTGTTGTGTAAGAATTGAAATCGATGAACAATTAATCTAAATAAGGGGCTTCCTAGCAATATTGAATAAATGTTTATAACTGTTGCAATAACAATTGTAAATGGTTAAACATTTGTGAGAATATGGGCTACAGTGTGATAAATTTTAGCCGAAGATATGGTCCTAGAACATTTCATAAAAGTGAAACGGATTCTTTAAGGATTCAGCTTCAAGAATTTATGCAACAAATTAATTATTTATTTTAAAATTGTTATAGGAAATGATGTAAAAAAACAGTAAATTTCATAGTTATAAACATTTAAAATAACCTCGTTATTTTTCGATATAATTTATTTTAAGTTGATCTGGATAGGTGGTTAAAAGACACACATTTAAAAAAACCTTCTACGGCCAACAGGAGCCAAGTTATTTTTTTTTAAATTTGTAGACATTAAGACTCGAAATTTTCACAGATTGTAATCAAGGATCTAAATTTTATAATCAAATTTATAATTTTTGACATTATTATACAGTGTTCTTAGATTAAGCCAAAAGCTTTCATTTCCTGCGTTGCGGTAGATAAACGGCAGTAACGACGATATAAAAAATGTAATCCTAGCATAGACAGATTTCTGTACAAACTGATGAAAAACTTCTGACTTGATAGGGGAATTGAAAAAGTTATGAAAGGAAGAAGCAAAATTGGTGTTAAAATTTTCATCTGCCTCTAAAACGTCAACCACTGTATATATTGACGTGAATAAAAAAAACACATTATAGAGACAATGTGGTTATTGATAACGGAAAGCATTTCAGTCTGATTAGCAGCTACACTCACACCACACAGTGACACAAACTTGGGGTGATGAGACATCATTTTAATTTACCCTATTCAGAAGTTAACCTGTAACCACAACTCATATCTACTTATTAATGACAATGAGAGTACATATCGCCTGCCGCAAAAATCCATAAACTCGAGGTAAAAGTAAAAAAGTTATAATGTTCCGATTTTCACCAAAATTTTGCTTGTTGCGTTTATTTTGAACACGAGTGTATATCCATTTTGGAGATTTGAATAAAATAGGTTTCTTTTAACAGTTAATAATTACTACTAAATCTTTCTCAATGACTTCTTTTAATGTTGTCCAATGGATGTTATGGATGGTGGTGGTGTGATATGTATACAAATCCTATTTTTTTCACTTGTTGTTGATAGATCATCAAGTCGTTGATATACATATACGTTGAAAAGAAGGAGGCAAGTATTACTCCTTGTGGAACTCCATTCGTTACAGTCATTAGTCGTATTTTCAACTTTAACCTTATGTTTACTATTCTGCAAACAATTTTGAAATAATTTCAGTGGTGTACCTCTAATTGCAATGCCGTCTTGGCCTAAAGACATAATATGTAATTTCAACAATAGACTTACCTATGCACATCCTGGGTCCTTCCCCGAATGGCATGAACGTGAACGGTGGTCGCTTTGCTTTGTTCTCTTCACTGAAGTTCTCTGGATTAAACTTTTCTGGATCAGGATAATATTCTGGATCCATGTGGATCGGCTGGATCGTAAACACGACATTAGTACCGGCTTCGAGGATGAAATCCGTTCCAGGTACTTTGTAATCCTTAGCGCACACCCTCATGGAGTTAGCTAAGGGCGGATGCTTTCGTAGGGTTTCTGAAAGTATACAGGGTCACGATAGACTTGGTACTTCCCAAGCGTTGTATATTTATCTTAAAATTTGCAAATTTGCAAATTTGAAGATTTGTGTTACTGCAATAGGAAGTCCAATAATCAAGTATGACAACTCCATTTTGAATAAGAACAATATGAAAATTAAGATAACAAAAAATTAAATTATAGTAAAATGTTACGATTATTTCTTTTGTTGCTATTTACTGAATTGCAGTTATTGTGTAACTATAATAAATTGCATTCCACGATTTTTACTATATTGATATTTTAATTTTATAGGACTTTCTATTGCACAAACTCTAATATATTTGAAAATTATTATCTAGTTTTTAGTTTTACTTGCCATTAAAGCGTGTTTTTTAGATTTCTGAAGTTTTAGTTTCGAAACAGCAAAAAGTACTCATAACTGATTTTTCGTATTTTTGTTTCACTTTTTTCCAAATTTCAGTATGTCTAAAACTCCTTCAAAATTTCAAATTTTCCAAATTCTCAAATTATTTTCCAAATTTCCGAATTTTCCAATTATTTTCCAAATATTCAAATCTAACTTTTTTACAAATTTAAAAATAAAATTTTATTAAAAGGTTTTGAACTGGAATTTTTCTCAAAATCGACCCTTCATATCAATTTTTTAGTTATTCAGACTCCTGGAAGTTGGTGAAAATCAGGTAGAAATATTCCCGTACATACTTACACACAGGTAAAGCAAGTAAAAGTGTGTAATAAAAGTGACGTAAGTCATTTAAATCTTTTGAATCGTCGTCGATCAAACAAAAGTAGTTTTTTAAGAATCCAGGTATAACTAGTGACCAATATTTTAAGAAACAAATATATACTAAGTGACATATAAATCCGAACAACCAGTTTAAATGGTTTTATTTTAATAAAATTTTGTATAAGTACTTAATGAAACATAATAAGTAAATGATAAAAATTTCAAAATGATTGCACTGCTTAAAGCCCTTTGACCTTTAATAATGTGTGGATGCACCCTGATGTGCTACGCATTCTCCAACGCGCCTAGGCATGCCTCTGATCAGGTGGTCAATGTCCTCCTGTGGTATCTCATTCCAGGCAACCACCAACTCCTCTCGAAGTGCTTCTAGAGTCTGAGGAGGACGTTGCAAATTGAGCAATCTCCTACCCATCATATCCCACACGTGTTCAATTGGGGATAAGTCGGGAGATCTTGATGGCCATGGTAACAATGTGACATGATTATGATGAAAGAAGTCTATTGTGACTCTTGCAACATGTGGTCGGGCATTATCTTGTTGGAAAGTTGGATCTGCCAGGGTGTCAAGATAGGGTAAAAGATGGGGTTCTAGAACTTCGTGGATATAACGCTGCGCGTTCATGTTACCTCTGATGAAGATTAAAGGTGACCTGGAACCATAAGCTATAGCACCCCAAACTCCAACAGTGTGATGAACAAGTCTTTCAACAAAAAGCTGTGGATTCCTCCTTTCACCACGTCGCCTTCTAACCCTGGCACGACCATCGTGCATGCCTAAACAAAATCGAGACTCGTCACTAAAGACAATACTGTTCCATTCCTGATCCCAGAGTGACCGTTGTCTGCACCACTCAAGGCGATTACGTCGGTGTTCTCGAGTTAAAGGGAGGACCCAGTGTGGCCGGTATGAAAACAAGCCAAAACTTCTCATTCGTCGGTAAACACTTCGCATGCCAATAGGTATTCCGTGTTCTGCAAAACATTCATTTGCAATGGACCTGGTAGTGAAGAAACGGTCCCTTAAGGCCAATAATCTTAGGCGGCGATCTTCACGGTCTGTTGTTCTACGGCGGCGTCCAGTGCCCCTTGCTCTTTGCGTACGGCCTTCTCGAAGCCATGCCTGACAACACCTAACCACAGTGTTCTACACTTCTTTGCACTCTAACTGCAATTGCCCGAAAAGAAAGTCCAGCTTCCCGAAGTCCCACTATACGGCCCCTATCAAACTCACTAAGTTGACGAAATCGTACAGGTCTCCGTACTCTAGGCATCGTAACCGATCGTAAAGGATGTCAAGAACCAAAATCCGCCAACGTTGATTCTTTACTGCGGCTGAAATATTCATTTGTAGAGCGTTAGTGAATTAAAAAAAAGCAGTACAAAAACCGGAATGTCCAACTGATAAGGCTGAAAATTTTTTCACTTGTTATTTACAGTAAGATAAATACATTCACCAACTTTTATTAAAATAAAACCATTTAAAATGGGTGTTCGGATTTATATGTCACTTAGTATAATTTTCCGATCTTTTTGTGATAAATAAATAATACGCGGTTATGAAGATACCAACAGATGACCAACTGATACACCGACCTTTCAAACGATAAAGGATTTAGAATATTTTGAACTGAAAATGCAGTACAATATGTGATAGTAGTTTTTGCACAGCTGCGTTTCATTTTTTATAGTTTTTTGCAGGGGACCCTTTATACGTATATATTTTCTTAAATAGCAAAATCTTGTCGCTAGGGAATTGAAAATTATGTATCTGTTCCAAATATGTACTGTATCCTTGCTCAAAAATAAAATCTCAATTGATGGTTGACAATATTTACTAGGAGTCAATATTTTCCAATTCATGCTCCACGCAAGCGTTTTTTGAATAAATTTCAATCACAGCCTTCGACCACAATCCACAAAACGTGTAAAGTAAATAATGAAATGAACCTTATACATGCTTAAAACAAATTTTGGGTTATTTTGCATATTTTTCTAAATCAATAATTAAATGGAGGTCTGGTTCTTATTGTTGCTATTTACCGTTTAAGACCATCTCCAAGTACTCCATTTCCAGGACAGCTTCATACGTCAGCTGCCCACCATGTTTCTTCAGAACGGTGTTTATTTCATCTCTTAATTTATCTTGATACTCTTCATTCATAGCTAGTTCGTATAGAGCAAAGGTCATTGTAGAAGATGAAGTTTCAAATCCAGCGTTGAAGAAAATAAGACACTGCGCTGTTATCTATTATAGAAAAATTCATGTCCTAGTTATTAAGTAGCAATCGATGTTTTGTACTTGAAGATAGAGTCTGTTTTGGTCCGTCTAACCAAACGTGCAGTTTCATCCTTATTAAGTATCGTCAGTACGATATAGGCTGCCAGATGATGGACGGAAGGATAATAGCTAGTCTCTATCAAAGATACCACGCCATGCGAACGAAGTAATCCAGTCAGTCCTCACCTTTTTTAAGCAAAATACAGCTGTGATTATACAGGGTGTCCTATTTTCGATGATATTACTTACTAGTAAAGATAGAGAGTTGCGGTTTTCGCAGTACTGTGTTACTTTTTGTGAAAAAAAAAGATGGTGTCTACAAAAAATTTCATAGCCCGTTTGGTTGCTGAGACACAGGGCGTAATTGAAGATATTGCATTTTGGAATCCCCTCGTATTTGCGTTATCCTTCAACATATCGCAAAGCTAAAAACTGGTTTTTACACAATTTTTCACGTAGATCCCAGTGGTGCAGTCAGGATTTTTCTATGAGATGTCAATTATTAGCTATAAATCAAATTTAGGTTTATGTCAATGGGACACCGTGTATTTTTTTTTTCGTTTGATTAAATATTTTATGAGCTTTGCAAGACATGATATGTATTGTGTATAATGAATCTAAAATTTATAATTTCACAATCTTGCTAAGTATTGTATAAGTATTACAAGGCCGTGATTAGTAGAACAATGGAATGATAATTTGCTAAGCACTTGTCAAACCTGTCAGTTGCAAAATTTATATTTTATGTGTAATATTATATATTTTACGATGGCTGAAAATGAAAATCATCAACATTCTGAAAAATATGACATATTAGGCTTTTTTATACAGAGCACTGAAAACTCCTGTGAAGCTTCCTAGCTTTACCTTAACAGGTTTTCTTAAATATTTATTCACCTTTTGGGGTATTTTGGAGACAAATACATATCACTGTTACTACTATTACTATTAAGGGGTTAATATCGAGGTCAATTTTCTTTTAATATTAAGATGAAATATTACAAGTTTTCTTTAGTTCTATTCACTGATCAACAGAAAAAAAATATCCTAAATAAAATCAACAAAATATTACTATTTTTAATGTGCTAAAACCGGAATGAAACTTATTTTTTCAATATTAGTTCAAGTTTTAGAGATACGGTAATTATATGTGTTCCTGCTGTGACAGTGTTAATATACTGTAATTCACAAGAATGCACGTGTTACATTTTTATATTCGGCAAGGAAAGATGATGTAATCGGCATGATTGTGTTACGTTATACATACGTGTACATTATATTGTTTTATATTAGCCATTTTTTCCTCAGTTGGCTGACAGCGTTCATGCAAGATGTCTCGAAAGTGTGTAAACAAACCAGATCAGTTTTGTTACGTGTGTGGTGATGTGACTTTTGCGTCTCAGAGACGGTCTATTACTCCACTAATAACAAAGGCATATCAGCTTTATTTCGGTTGTAAACTAGGTGATCAAGACAAACAGTGGGCACCCCACATCTGCTGTAATACATGTGCTTCAAGTCTGAGGAGCTGGTTAAATGGCAAAAAACGGTCTATGCGCTTTGCTGTCCCAATGGTTTGGAGAGAGCCTACAAATCATATTAATGATTATTACTTTTGCATGGTACCTTGTGTTGGACAAACCACAGGTATGTCCAAGAAAAAAAAATCGGTTATCAACTACCCAAACATACCATCTGCGATGAGACCTGTGCCTCACAGTGACGAAAATCCTATTCCAAAACTCCCAGAATCCTACACTTGCGAAGCAGAAAACGAATCAGATCATGGCGATCGAGTGATTCGTCAGGAAGAAGATATGCCATCAACGTCAAGAGATCCTGATTTTATACCGAGCACGTCATGCCACCAACCGCACAAAATAACACAGTCAGAATTAAATGATCTTGTAAGAGATTTAGAACTTCCAAAATGTAACGTAGAGTTACTTGGATCAAGACTGCAGCAGTGGAACTTGTTAGAAGATGATGTTTCGGTATATGCTTTTCGTAAACGCCACAAAGACTTAGAACCATGTTTCAATATGGAGAATAACTTGGTTTTCTGCAGTAACATTAACGGCTTACTGGCGGCTTTAAATATAAACTATAACCCAGAAGAATGGAGATTGTTTATAGACAGTTCAACATTGAGTTGAAAGGCAGTGTTATTGCATATTGGAAATATTTTACCATCTCTTCCTGTAGGGTATGCAGTTCACATGAAAGAATCATATGACAATATGAAGTACCTATTGACATGCATAAAATACGATGAGCACCAATGGCATATTTGTGGCGATTTGAAAGTTGTTGCACTTTTACTTGGGCTGCAGCTAGGCTACACAAAGTTTTGCTGTTTTTTGTGTGAATGGGACAGTCGGGCAAAGGCACTTCATAACACCAGACAAAACTGGCCTGTTCGTCAATTCCTAGAGCCAGGTCAAAAAAATGTACAGCATATGCCATTAGTAGATTCGAAAAAAATTTTATTACCACCACTGCATATCAAGTTGGGCCTAATGAAAAACTTTGTCAAGGAATTACAATAGATAGAGATGGGTCAGCTTTTCAATACCTGCGTCAGAAATTTCCAAGACTAAGTGAGACAAAAGGTAGAGAAGGTATTTTTGTTGGGCCACAGATTCGAAATATTTTGAAAGATACACAGTTTGAAAACACTTTAACAGGTATTGAAAAAACTGCTTGGAATGATTTCCGTCTGGTGGTCACTAATTTTTTGGGAAATAGAAAAGCTGACAACTATAAAACCCTTGTCAAGAATATGCTGTCATCGTATCAAAAGATGGGCTGTAATATGTCTCTTAAGATACATTTCCTACACTCACACCTGGACTTTTTTCCTGACAATTGCGGAGCCGTAAGTGATGAGCACGGCGAACGTTTTCATCAGGATATTTCAACAATGGAAAAAGGTACCAGGGAAAGTGGAATCGTTCCATGCTTGCAGACTACTGTTGGACTCTTGGTAGAGATGCTCCAGAAACGATCCATAAAAGAACAGCAAAAAGACAGCGCATATAGTGATTCTTATAAGTATATGAATCTTGTTACTTTTTTAATATATCCTTAAAAATAAAAAGTTTTTTCTAAACCGCAACTAATTTTTTTATTTCATCATTTCTTATATTTCTGCAAATCTTATAAAATATTCAATCAAACGAGAAAAAATATATATGGTGTCCCATTAAAAAAAACTAAGTTTGATTTATAGATGAAAATTGACTACGTCACGGTTTTGTACGTAAAAAACTGTGTAAATTCCAGTTCTTAGTTTTGCAACAAGTTGATAACGGAGATATGAGGGGGTCCCAAAAGGCAATACTTTTAATATCACTCTGAATCTCAGAAACGAAGGTACTATGAAAATTTTATTTATACCATCTATCTTTTTCGCAACAAGGTAGCACAGTATTGTAAAAACTTCCCCGTAAGCGAGATACCCCGTAACATCATCGAAAATGGGACACCCTGCTCTGCTGGCATCTCGCAATTCACTGTGACTTAGTAGTGTGCTTACTTTCAAACCACGTTGAAAACTAACACCAATATCTATAGGTGCTTTTCATGCTGCCACCACGTATCTAAAATACAACGGTCGATGGCAACTATACGAGTATTACGTTTTTAAGAATCTGTCAAGCAAAAAATAGCATATAGGTATTTCTGTTTTTCGTTTTTCTTTGACATTTTTATAGTGAAATGTTCTATGATTCTCACCTGATCCATAGTTATATGCTCCATATCGCCAGCTTTGTGTATTTCACCTCCTTGGGTACCTTCATCCTCGCTTACTTTTCCAGTGTTCTTCAGTTCGATCAGCAGTTGCAGAAAATCGTTTCTTCGTTTCTGTGAAGTTTCTCTGTACTCTACCATGTCTTTAACTAGATCTTTGAAAAATGTTTCAACATCAGCTTCAATAAACTTGAATCTAAAAAAACAAAAACTGATGAATCTTAGAAATCAGAAACAAACGGCAGATGGCGCTGGACATGGATAACTTGGAAAGTATCTAACTAAAAACACTTTTTATTAGGTATTAACATATGAAAGGTATTAGGCGCCAAAAAAATATGGCTTTGAGCTAGACACAGGTTTTTTCACAAAGCCAATATTATAGTACAACACTAAGAAAATATACTAAGCGACACATAAATCCGAACACCCAGTTTAAATAGTTTTATTTTAATAAAAATTGGTGACTGTATTTATCTTACTGTAAACAACAAGTGAAAACATTTTCAGCCTTATCAGTTGGACATACCGGTTTTTATACTGCTTTTTTTTAATTCACTAACGCTCTAAAAATGAATATTTCAGCCGCAGTAAAGAATCAACGTTGGCGGATTTTGGTTCTTGACATCCTTTACGATCGGTTACGATGCCTAGAGTACGGAGACCTGTACGATTTCGTCAACTTAGAGAGTTTGATAGTGGGACTTCGGGAAGCTGGACTTTCTTTTCAGGCAATTGCAGTTAGAGTGCAAAGAAGTGTAGACACTGTGGTTAGGTGTTGTCAGGCATGGCTTCGAGAAGGCCGTACGCAAAGAGCTAGGGGAACTGGACGCCGCCGTAGAACAACAGTCCGTGAAGATCGCCGCCTAAGATTATTGGCCTTAAGGGACCGTTTCTCCACTACCAGGTCCATTGTAAATGAATGATTTGCATAACACGGAAGACCTATTGGCATGCGAAGCGTTTACCGACGAATGAGAAGTTTTGGCTTGTTTTCATACCGGCCACACTGGGTCCTCCCTTTAACTCGAGAACACCGACGTAATCGCCTTGAGTGGTGCAGACAACGGTCACTCTGGGATCAGGAATGGAACAGTATTGTCTTTAGTGACGAGTCTCGATTTTGTTTAGGCATGCACGATGGTCGTGCCAGGGTTAGAAGGCGACGTGGTGAAAGGAGGAATCCACAGTTTTTTGTTGAAAGACATGTTCATCACACTGTTGGAGTTATGGTTTGGGGTGCTATATCTTATGGTTCCAGGTCACCTTTAATCTTCATCAGAGGTAACATGAACGCGCAGCGTTATATCCACGAAGTTCTAGAACCCCATCTTTTACCCTATCTTGACACCCTGGCAGATCCAACTTTCCAACAAGATAATGCCCGACCACATGTTGCAAGAGTCACAATAGACTTCTTTCAACATAATGATGTCACATTGTTACCATGGCCACCAAGATCTCCCGACTTATCCCCAATTGAGCACATGTGGGCTATGATGAGTAGGAGATTGCTCAATTTGCAACGTCCTCCTCAGACTCTAGAAGCACTTCGAGAGGAGTTGGTGGTTGCCTGGAATGAGATACCACAGGAGGACATTGACCACCTGATCAGAAGGATGCCTAGGCGCGTTGGAGAATGCGTAGCACATCGGGGTGCATCCACACATTATTAAAGTTCAAAGGGCTTTAAAGCAGTGCAATCATTTTGAAATTTTTATCATTTACTTATTATGCTTCATTAAGTACTTATTCAAAATTTTATTAAAATAAAACCATTTAAGCTGGGTGTTCCGATTTATATGTCACGTAGTATATGTGACGCCTAAAAAGTTTGATTAGTTCAATTGCACTCATATTCCTAAAACAGTTTACTTGGACCTATGAAGCTAGTTTCATTAAATCAAAACGCAATCGTTTACTTAAATATAATAAACCGTTATTGAGATTGAGTACACCAGTATATTTCAAATTAATGAACTATCATAACGGGATTTACTGCTGTAAGCAAAACAATTCAATTATATTTACTAAATTTGCTTAATTATTGTAATTAAAGGTACTACCCTAGTTTTGACGAAATCCTTTTAAATTTAAAAGCGTATCAGGAAAATATTTGGAACTTAAAAGAACATATTGCATTTTACTCTTCTATTCTTCTCCTAAGAACATCAAAAATATTTCTGTGCATCGAATTCCACTTCAATAAAAGGCCTACCTTAAAACTGTGCCGAAAAGCTTAACGCACAACGGCAATATTCAAACGTGAAGCTCGTCACGACAATCAAAAACGAAACCGAGGAGCCTGAAGCACATCAGCACTGCGTCTGTCGCATACTCCCGATCATTTACTAATGAAGCGCGCAGTTCTGTCTAGTCCGCCATTCAAACAAACGGTTTACTGTTTTTATTAAAATATTTAATTGTTTTGAATGCGTATTTTCTACGTAATTTAAATAACCTAAACTAATTAATCAGTTTAATAAAAACAGGTACATGATTTGCTATTTTCAAGGAAATTGAAGTTTAGTAGTTTATTATTTTTAATCGAACTGGTTCCAGAAAATTCAGATTAATCAAACTGAATAATTTAGTGACTTAGAATAATTGAAAACTCATTACGGGTAATGAAAGATTTCTAAAAAACTGGTGATTTGACGTACGGTTACCAAAGGCTATCCCACTCTTATCTTCGGTTTCTTTTTATATAATGGTGAGACTTGTTGGTTGATATCTTTTTATTTACAATGATCTGTTTCTTTCACTGAGAAACGCTTTTATTTTCAGACCACAGGACCATCAGATAGCGGAAAATCTTTTACAAAGTGAGCATTACCCTTTCAGCTGCTATAAATGTTTGATCGTTACCTTAAAAATCTCAATATGTTATGTGGTAAAGCAGCCATCATCATGCCCCGCATCACTCTTGGCCAAGTGCTAAAGTCGAACTGTTTCTTTCCATATTTTCTGAACTCCGTGTTGGGATCTTTTATGCAGTTGCATTCGATACCGAACGCACATTCTCCAATAACGTCCGTCGTGAATCTCGCCAGAATTTCCTTTATGTCTATAGGATCACCGATCCTTGCGTGTTCGTCGAGCACATCCTTTAACTGATTGGCGCATTTCACCACGATGGGAAACATCATTTTCATTTTTCCTTGAATCGTAATAATTTCAGGTTAATACCATATTATAAATATACTAAGTGACACACAAATCCGAACACCCAGTTTAAATGGTTTTATTTTAATAAAATTTTGTACAAGTACTTAATGAAGCATAATAAGTAAATGATAAAAATTTCAAAATGACTGCACTGCTTTAAAGCCCTTTGACCTTTAATAATGTGTGGATGCACCCTGATGTGTTACACATTCTCCAACGCGCCTAGACATGCTTCTGATCAGGTGGTCAATGTCCTCCTGTGGTATCTCATTCCAGGCAACCACCAACTCCTCTCGAAGTGCTTCTAGAGTCTGAGGAGGACGTTGCAAATTGAGCAATCTCCTACCCATCTTATCCCACACGTGCTCAATTGGGGATAAGTCGGGAGATCTTGGTGGCCATGGTAACAATGTGACATCATTATGTTGAAAGAAGTGTAATGTGACTCTTGCAACATGTGGTCGGGCATTACCTTGTTGGAAAGTTGGATCTGCCTGGGTGTCAAGATAGGGTAAAAGATGGGGTTCTAGAACTTCGTGGATATAACGCTGCGCGTTCATGTTACCTCTGATGAAGATTAAAGGTGACCTGGAACCATAAGATATAGCACCCCAAACCATAACTCCAACAGTGTGATGAACATGTCTTTCAACAAAAAACTGTGGATTCCTCCTTTCACCACGTCGCCTTCTAACCCTGGCACGACCATCGTGCATGCCTAAACAAAATCGAGACTCGTCACTAAAGACAATACTGTTCCATTCCTGATCCCAGAGTGACCGTTGTCTGCACCACTCAAGGCGATTACGTCGGTGTTCTCGAGTTAAAGGGAGGACCCAGTGTGGCCGGTATGAAAACAAGCCAAAACTTCTCATTCGTCGGTAAACGCTTCGCATGCCAATAGGTCTTCCGTGTTATGCAAATCATTCATTTACAATGGACCTGGTAGTGGAGAAACGGCCCCTTAAGGCGGCGATCTTCACGGTCTGTTGTTCTACGGCGGCGTCCTGTGCCCCTTGCTTTTTGCGTACGGCCTTCTCGAAGCCATGCCTGACAACACCTAAACACTTCTTTGCTATTCTAACTGCAATTGCCCGAAAAGAAAGTCCAGCTTCCCGAAGTCCCACTATACGGCCCCTATCAAACTCACTAAGTTGACGAAATCGTACAGGTCTCCGTACTCTAGGCATCGTAACCGATCGTAAAGGATGTCAAGAACCAAAATCCGCCAACGCTGATTCTTTACTGCGGCTGAAATATTTATTTTAAGAGCGTTAGTGAATTAAAAAAAAGTAGTATAAAAACCGGAATGTCCAACTGATAAGGCTGAACATTTTTTCACTTGTTATTTACAGTAAGATGAATACATTCACCAACTTTTATTAAAATAAAACCATTTAAACTGGGTGTTCGGATTTATATGTCACTTAGTATATTTGTGAGAAAATAACATTAATGAGTAAGGCATAAAAAAACACATGAACGCGTTGAATTTTCAATAGAATATTAACGTTACTATCGACTTCTCAACAAGTCAAATGTTTTGGGACTAATTCTCAACTATGTGTATTAAAAAAAAGAAACAAAAAAAATCGTCGTCAATTTACTCTTGAACAAACATTTATATAATGTAATGTAAAATCTAATTATGAAATCGGGTATTAACCGTTTCGGATTTACTGGCAAAACAATGTAACAATTCACGAACGCAATAATAATATTTTAGTTTTAACTCAAATCATTTTCTGTTCGTCTCTCTCTTGATTCTTACCTGAAGTGAAAGTTGCTGTCAGTTTGACCCGCATACTTCTCCATCTCTCGTCTTCCAAATGAAACAGACTGGCAGATATTGGATCGTCCCTTTCGTTCACGTACACGCCGTGGTTCTGGAAGTACGCAAAGTCCTTTACCGCGATGTGTCTCATGATCTCCAAATCTATCGGCAGGTAAGTAGGTTTACTGAAATGCCCGTATGTTCCGATATGTTTCAGTCCTCTTTCTTTGGCTATCCTGTATTTCTTCATGATCTGAACTGCTGAATTCACGTTCTGCTCGTCTACCGGTAATTCTATCACAGGTAGCCCCTTTCTTTGCCAGTAGGTGCGTCGCCATTTCAGCCATAATTTGATGAAGGCGTAGAGCAGCAGAGGTACTGAACAAACCAGTAGCAAGGTCTTCATTTTCAGCTATCCAGGTACCTTAAAAAATTAAGTACGGTATATTGTCTCAGTACGTTCCATGCATTTATGGTCTTTATATACTAAGTGACACCCAGTTTAAATGGTTTTATTTTAATAAAAGTTGGTGAATGTATTTATCTTACTGTAAATAACAAGTGAAAAAATTTTCAGCATTATCAGTTGGACATTCCGGTTTTTATACTGCTTTTTTTAATTCACTAACGCTCTAAAAATGAATATTTCAGCCGCAGTAAAGAATCAACGTTGGCGGATTTTGGTTCTTGACATCCTTTACGATCGGTTACGATGCCTAGAGTACGGAGACCTGTACGATTTCGTCAACTTAGTGAGTTTGATAGGGGCCGTATAGTGGGACTTCGGGAAGCTGGACTTTCTTTTCGGGCAATTGCAGTTAGAGTGCAAAGAAGTGTAGACACTGTGGTTAGGTGTTGTCAGGCATGGCTTCGAGAAGGCCGTACGCAAAGAGCAAGGGGCACTGGACGCCGCCGTAGAACAACAGACCGTGAAGATCGCCGCCTAAGATTATTGGCCTTAAGGGACTGTTTCTCCACTACCAGATCCATTGCAAATTAATGGTTTGCAGAACACGGAAGACCTATTGGCATGCGAAGTGTTTACCGACGAATGAGAAGTTTTGGCTTGTTTTCATACCGGCCACACTGGGTCCTCCCTTTAACTCGAGAACAACGACGTAATCGCCTTGAGTGGTGCAGACAACGGTCACTCTGGGATCAGGAATGGAACAGTATTGTCTTTAGTGACGAGTCTCGATTTTGTTTAGGCATGCACGATGATCGTGCCAGGGTTAGAAGGTGACGTGGTGAAAGGAGGAATCCACAGTTTTTTGTTGAAGGACATGTTCATCACACTGTTGGAGTTATGGTTTGGGGTGCTATAGCTTATGGTTCCAGGTCACCTTTAATCTTCATCAGAGGTAACATGAACGCGCAGCATTATATCCACGAAGTTCTAGAAGCTCATCTTTTACCCTGTCTTGACACCTTGGCAGATCCAACTTTCCACATGTTGCAAGAGTCACAATAGACTTCTTTCAACATAATGATGTCACATTGTTACCATGGCCACCAAGATCTCCCGACTTATCCCCAATTGAGCACGTGTGGGATATGATGGGTAGGAGATTGCTCAATTTGCAACGTCCTCCTCAGACTCTAGAAGCACTTCGAGAGGAGTTGGTGGTTGCCTGGAATGAGATGCCACAGGAGGACATTGACCACCTGATCAGAAGCATGCCTAGGCGCGTTGGAGAATGCGTAGCACATCAGGGTGCATCCACACATTATTAAAGGTCAAAGAGCTTTAAAGCAGTGCAATCATTTTGAAATTTTTATCATTTACTTATTATGCTTCATTAAGTACTTATACAAAATTTTATTAAAATAAAACCATTTAAACTGGGTGTTCGGATTTATATGTCACTTAGTATATTTGTATATATAATATAAAATGTCGCCATTCTGCTAGAGTACAGGCTTCAATGCTTATGGATTTCAAAAATTCCAGTAGTATTTCTTATGGTTTGGCAAGAAGGTAAAATTTTCTGCCTTAGCTTATCTACAGTCTGAAGCGGTGTAGTATGAACTTAAGTCTTGCCTCCACAACAAATTGTACAGTATTGGAAGGCCAATATTGAGTTCCCCCACGTCCTTCCAGCGATTCGTAAGCGCTTCATTTCGAAATTTCGCAGCATGAATGCTAAAATGTTTAGGAGCACCATCATGCATGTACCACAATTTCTTCTCTTAATAAAAGAGGAAAATGGTCGAGCAAATCGTTTTCGAAAAGTGACGATAGGATAGTCCATCCAGTCGTCCTGGAGGGAAGAACAACCCTATGAGGAAATCTCCAACAAAACCGATTTCAAACCTATAAAAGGAGGAGTTCCTCAAGGTTCAATTTTATCTCCTTTGCTATTTTCAATCTACATATGTGACATGGTCAAATCAAGGTAAAACAATATGCAGATGACTCACAAATATATCTCCCTTTCAATAAAACCACAATCCATATTGCATAACAACAACTAAATTCAGATCTCCAAAGTATTGACAGATTTGCAAAGCATCACCATCTTAAACTAGAGCCTTCAAAATCGCAAGTAATGGTTATGAATAAAAACAGTACTGAAAGAGAACAGGTCAACCGCCCTATTCAAGAGAAAGATTTGTGCATTTGCCTTGTGCCCAGAGGAGCAGAAATAATCTCAATTTCATCGTACCAAGGCATAGAACGCGTTCTCGCATGGACCCTCTGTATTAAAGGGTCCAATGTATCGGTTTTATAATCGTCATTGCTCTATATTGTAGAATTTCCTTTGTTTATGATGTTTATTCATGACGAAATAAATATTTTGAATTTGAATTTATTCCAGCACACACAAACTACTCCTGATGATGTGCTTCCGTAATTGCGTATGGGCTTTCTTTGGCCCATACATGATTATTATGGAAATTTTTAACGCTATTGCGGAGAAAAGTAGCTTCATCGGTAAAGAGTAATTTGATATCAAATAAAGAGCTTTCAGCAAAAAATAATATACGACTAACTACCCAAAAAGCAGCAAAATAACATTGCTAAAAAATACTCTACATCGATGTCTATTGGAGTAAGTGAATGTCGAATTTCAGGAAAACATCTACAACAGTATTAAAGTTATGATAAGAAAACGAATTTCTTCTTAAACTTTTAACACCGTGTGGTTCAAAAGTTAAGAGGTTTAGGATAGTTCTTCGTATAAACTTTTCTTCTTAAAATGAGTTAAGGAACCATCAATTAAATTACACTCCGTAGAAGATTCCCCTTAGAATATATTAGTACCGTTGTCAGGATATGATTAATTCTCTAATAATATTCTTGTAATGTTCCATTCCAACATATATCCTCAGAACATCTCTCACATCCCTAGAATGTTCTGAGGGGGAATTACTGTGGTTGTATAATTGTGTTCCTATTTTCACTTTTTCTGGAATATTCCTAGAATAATGCGTACATTCCAGGACTACGAGCCCCCTCCCACTTCAGTTGGCCCAACTATTGAAATCTTAGTTTTTTTCTTATCAAACACAAATAATAAAAATCTAGCAGGATGTTATAGGTTTAAAATATTAACAATGAATATTTTGATAATATATAGTAGAAAATACCAACTTTATCACTCCCTAATCAAATTTGCAGCATCAAAATAACACATGTTGCAATTACAGCATATCAACCTATTTTCATTTCAATGCAAAATAAGTCTATAACGCATAGGTGGCTGTGAAAAATAAAAGCCATGACAATTGTTTTTATTAATCACAGCTGTCAGAATACGTTTAAAATAGTTTTGAGTAGTTAAGATTTTCAAAATGGGTAGAGGAAAGGCTATTAGTGAGAAAATTCGGTAACTGATAATTAAATTTTTTAATTCTGGGAAATCAAACTCAGGAATTGCAACTTTGTTAGACTTATCGCGGTACAGTGTGAGAAATATTGTTAGAAGATATAACGTAACTGGCTCAGTTAATATTAAGCCACGATATGTGAAAAAAAGTAATATCACAAATTCCGACCGCAGAGCATTAAGAATAATAATAATAATAATAATATTTATTCGCCAAAATACAAAGAATGGGCAAATAAATATGAAAAAGCCACAGAAGTAATCGCCTGTGTGTGGTTTATATCTTAATAACTAACAATGAATCATATATGTGTATAACAATTATTGTTAAATCTAAAAAGTATTAATGTAATTGGAATTTTGTAGTTTTAGTTTTCTATATAATTATGTATAGTCATTCTCTGCACAGTACTAACCCTCAATTTTCTTCTAAATTTTTTTCCAAAATTAAGTATTTTTATTTCGTTTGGTACTACATTATATAATTTAGCTGCTAAGAACTTAAATGATTTTTTGAATAATGTTTTGTGTGGTCTTTGGATATTAGATGCGCCTATTCGAAATCGTGTGTTATGCTCGTGTTTATAGGATTTTTTCTTTTTATTACAATACTTATGGTATAAGGTGGTGGCATGTGAGAAATAAAGTTGTCTTGTATCAAGTATCCCTGTTTCTTGATATAAGTTGTTCGTTGGATATAATCTTGGCTTATGGAAAATGGCTTTCAAAACAGTTTTTTGTGCTATATTCAGGTCAGAAATATATGTCTTGCAGGCGGCACCCCAGGCTGTGATGCCGTATATTATATGGGTTTCAACTAAGGCATGGTATAGGATTCGCAGATAACTTTCTGTAAGAATGTTAACAAGCATTTTGAGTTTATAGGCAACATTTCTAATTTTTTTGATAACATATTTAATATGGTTATCCCACCTTAGATGGGAGTCCATAAATATTCCAAGATATTTCAAAGTGTTAACTCTATCGATTTTGGTCTTTTGGCCATGATAATTAACGGAAATTTGTTCGAAGGTAGGTAAAAATTTTGAATAGGATGTAAATGCAATAAGTTTTGTTTTTTTGAAGTTAACTGTTAAAATTTTAGTATCAAATCAGTCAATGATCCTTATAAAATCCTTTTCAGCTATTTGCTTCAGTGTGCTCCAGTCATCAGCTTTATATAATACGAGGGTGTCATCTGCAAAACATATAATCTTTCCAGAACTGTTAATTTTGAATAAGTCATTTAAGTAGAGACTAAATAATAGTGGGCCTAGTACTGTTCCTTGAGACACACCACACTTGATGTACATTTTTTTACTGTAAGTGTTAGTGATTTTGACAGTCTGTGCCCGACTTGAAAGGTAATTTTTTAAAAGGCTTTGAGACGCTCCCCTAAATCCCAATCTTTCCATAACTTTCAGAAGCTCGAAATGGTTAACCGTATCAAAGGCATTTTTTAGATCAACAAAGATACCAATAGTAGGTATCTTTTTGTTGACATTAGAGTTAATTTCATCCATTGCAGCCAAAATTGCATCTGTAGTAGATTTTCCTTTTCTAAATCCATATTGGTCAGAACATATAATTTTGTTTTTGTCCAAAAATTGTAATATCCTTTTTTGTAGTAATTTTTCGAAAATTTTGGTTATATTCGATAGTACTGATATGGGTCTATAATTTGATGTTTCCATTCTGTCACCGCTTTTATAAATAGGAGTAATAACAGTTGTTTTAAATGCATCAGGACAAATTCCAGATTGGAAACACCAATTAATGACGTAAGAAAGTGGTTCGGCTAAGTCGTAGGCTATTATTTTTAAATGGTCAGCTTTGATACCATCTACACCAGGACTTTTTTTGGTTTTAAGTGATAGGACAGCTTCTTGTACTTCAATCGGACTAACGCCTTCTAAAACGAATGCATTGGGAAGTTGGGTTTTTGGGAACTTTTCGTTCGAAACCTTTTTTTTAATACTGGATGCTAAATTTTCTCCAACATTAGTGAAAAAATTTAAGAATGCATCGGATATTTGTCGTTTATCTGTTGATATTGTTCCATCACGATTCTTAATTTCATCAATATTTGGCTTTTCTTGAACGTCTTTGTTAGTTAAGTGATCGACAACTGACCACAGTTTTCTTGGATCAGATTTGGCATCTTGTAATTTTTTTAGATAAAATTGGCGTTTTGCTTCTCTAACTAGATTGATAAAAATATTTTTATATTCTTTATATTTATGGGAGGTATCTGCACATGGCGATGCTTTCATTATTTTGTATGGTTCTTCTTTTTGGTTGGCAGACTTTATCAAACCTTTAGTTATCCAGGGATTCCTGCTTCTGTCAAAATGTTTAATTTTAACTCTGTACTACATTCAATTAAAGAATGATCGTGAAAAACAGGCGTGCCAATTATTTACAATTAAGCGCTCTGTGGAGTGACGCTGTTGGAAGGAGAATTTCGAGGTCCACAACTCATAGAGAGGCCCACAAACTGGGATTTAGCACTTGCAAGGTAAGTTTTCTTATAAAAAAAGAGAAGTAAACATCCTAAAGCTCCACAACTTGTTTATAGGCCAAAGAAAAGCCACTATTAACTCCACTGTAAAAGAAAAATCGGCTTAGATGGGCTACAGAGTATAGACAATGGACACCTCAACAATGGTGTGCAATACAAAGGAGTGATGAGGCCCGATTCGAAGTTTGCGTTGGTGACAGTCGCAGTAGAGATATTCGCAAAAAACAATTAAGCATTCCATGTTGACTGTCTGAAGAGAAAATTGAAATTTCCAGCATCAATTATGGTCTGGGGCAGTATGTCATCAAAAGGAGTAGGAAAACTTCGTTTTATTGATGAAAATGCTTTTACCAGTGATGGAATAATGTTTGACATCCGGCCAAGATTTTGTGTTTCAGCAAGATGGTGCAGCGGGCCATACCTCAAAAAAGGCTATAAAGTGGATGGAAGAAAATAATGTATCACTTTTGAAATGGGTTTCTAGCAGTCCAGATCTGTCACCTATTGAAACTTAGTGGCACGAGATGAAAAAGGTTCTACGACAACATCCTGCTCGTACAATCACCGAACTGAGACAAAAGCTTCAAGAAATATGGCATTGTTTTACACAATATTTTTGCCAAAACTTGGTTAATACTATGCCCCAAAGAATTTCAGCCATATTAAAAAATAAAGGTGATGTTACCCAATAGTAATCTTTTAATTGTTGCCTTGTTCACTTCGCGCATTTATTCGCACATTGTTTATCTGTTCAGATGTTCTATTAGTTATAGGTCTAAATAATTTCAAATATGTATTTTTTACGACTAGAGTGTATCTAAAACGTTTTTGAGAAAATAAATTGTTTTAGAAGTAAATAGTTTCATGTTTAGCTTATAAAGGCATATCTTGGTACAAATCTTGAAGTGGACCAACTGAAGTGTGAAGGGGCTCGTATTGGGGGAATGATCCAATGTTCCAAAAGAAACATTCGAGAAATATTCTTAGAATAAATTGTGCTGCCTAGAAAACAAAAACAAAATACATAATTCAACATTACTTCATGCTTAAACGACCTGATGTATTTTGACATCCGACGCGTTTCTAGATCTTTCTTGATAGCTCGAGTATATCAAAATTATGTAAAATCAAGATAGCGTTTATTAAACTTCAACCTTGGATTTTCTATTTCATGTACTCGTTAATTATATGTATATCCAGACAGCTTTAAACGTAAACTATTCCACATGGGGATAGAAGCAAAAAGTGAATTTTATCTCACTTACCGTTTATTTTAATGGTAGTTAGACTTGCTACAAATACAAAATACGCTATATTTGAATGGTACCGAAATCATCATGTGAGTGATTATTATCGGTAATTATCTCTGATATGAATAATATAATGACTCGTCTGTTTTGATTGCACAGGGGAAAGGGATTTTTTTGCAGTAAGTACAATAGAACATGTTTTTGTTGATATAATTAGAATAAGATAAGGCCGCCATTTTGATAAGCGCCTTTAGTTCATCGTCTCGAAATCTTATATAAGAAAGTTTTTGTACACACACATTACATTACACATTACATTAGACATTACATTACACATTACATTACACATTACATTACACATTACATTACACATTACATTACACATTACATTACACATTACATTACACATTACATTACACATTACATTACACATTACATTATACATTACATTACACATTACATTACACATTACATTACACATTACATTACACATTACATTACACATTACATTACACATTACATTACACATTACATTACACATTGAATTACACATTACACTACACATTACATTACACATTACATTACACATTACATTACACATTACATTACACATTACATTACACATTACATTACACATTACATTACACATTACATTACACATTACATTACACATTACATTACACATTACATTACACATTGAATTACACATTACACTACACATTACACTACACACTACACTACACATTACATTACACATTACACTACACATTACATTACACATTATATTACATAACATATTTGGTACAGCAATTGTTAGGTCCTACAAAGAAGTTAGTACGAATGTACGCTGAGAATAAAAATAAAAATTAAACTAGGCTTGTACGTATATGTCAAAGCTTCAGCGTAGAATCTCATAAAAGTGCCAAACTTTGCATAATAGCAGTATTTTGTCTTCCTTGGTCCAACTGGTGATATCTTGTTAATTGAAGTGAAAGATATCAGCGATGATTGTACGTACCTTTGAAAAATATTCAGTCAATTAGCCACTTGTTGATATAAATTGACAACATCTCAACGCAGGCACACGGCACTACAGCTGCAAATGATCGCGAATGCAACATAATATCTTAGTTGCAAAATGTCTGGAGCTGTTCATCGGACGGTAATATTCGTCGACCTTGCTTGTTGTGTTAGGATAATCCCGCGTGCATTATTATTGGTCGCGATTTTAAGCTCTGTAACGCAGTAAGTTGTCGTTTCAGGCTGCATTCATTGCGTGTGACTCGGAGTAGAGACGGGTTAGGGTTGGTTCTGCAAAAGTTTGACTAAAGATTGGGCTGGGTTATTATCAAGAAGTGAAGAGGTTTCTTCAGACAATTATAGAAAAGATCGTGAAAAATGTGACTACTGTGGGTGGGGTTTTGATTGCGTTCTCTACTCTACTCTACACTGGTTGTCACCTCGTTCTTTTAATTGAATTTCTATGCTGTAAATGCCGCATTTATCACGTTACTATCTATATAGTTGTTTTGTATATCCCTATACATAACACTATAAATATACTAAGTGACATATAAATCCGAACACCCAGTTTAAATGGTTTTATTTTAATAAAAGTTGGTGAATGTATTTCTCTTACTGTAAATAACAAGTGAAAAAATTTTCAGCCTTATCAGTTGGACATTCCGGTTTTAATACTGCTTTTTTTTAATTCACTTACGCTCTAAAAATGAATATTTCAGCCGCAGTAAAGAATCAACGTTGGCGGATTTTGGTTCTTGACATCCTTTACGATCGGTTACGATGCCTAGAGTACGGAGACCTGTATGATTTCTTCAACTTAGTGAGTTTGATAGGGGCCGTATAGTAGGACTTCGGGAAGCTGGACTTTCTTTTCGGGCAATTGCAGTTAGAGTACAAAGAAGTGTAGACACTGTGGTTAGGTGTTGTCAGGCATGGCTTCGAGAAGGCCGTACGCAAAGAGCAAGGGTCACTGGACGCCGCCGTAGAACAACATACCGTGAAGATCGCCGCCTAAGATTATTGGCCTTAACGGACCGTTTCTCCACTACCAGGTCCATTGCAAATTAATGGTTTGCAGAACACGGAAGACCTATTGGCATGCGAAGTGTTTACCGACGAATGAGAAGTTTTGACTTGTTTTCATACCGCCCACACCGGGTCCTCCCTTTAATTCGAGAACACCGACGTAATCGCCTTGAGTGGTGCAGACAACGGTCACTCTGGGATCAGGAATGGAACAGTATTGTCTTTAGTGACGAGTCTTGATTTTGTTTAGGCATGCACGATGGTCGTGCCTGGGTTAGAAGGCGACGTGGTGAAAGGAGGAATCCACAGTTTTTTGTTGAAAGACATGTTCATCACACTGTTGGAGTTATGGTTTGGGGTGCTATAGCTTATGGTTCCAGGTCACCTTTAATCTTCATCAGAGGTAACATGAACGCGCAGCGTTATATCCACGAAGTTCTAGAACCCCATCTTTTACCATATCTTGACACCCTAGCAGATCAAACTTTCCAACAAGATAATGCCCGACCACGTGTTGCAAGAGTCACAATAGATTTCTTTCAACATAATGATGTCACATTGTTACCATGGCCACCAAGATCTCCCGACTTATCCCCAATTGAGCACGTGTGGGATATGATGGGTAGGAGATTGCTCAATTTGCAACGTCCTCCTCAGACTCTAGAGGCACTTCAAGAGGAGTTGGTGGTTGTCTGGAATGAGATACCACAGGAGGAGATTGACCACCTGATCAGAAGCATGCCTAGGCGCGTTGGAGAATGCGTAGCACATCAGGGTGCATCCACACATTATTAAAGGTCAAAGGGCTTTAAAGCAGTGCAATCATTTTGAAATTTTTATCATTTACTTATTATGCTTCATTAAGTACTTATACAAAATTTTATTAAAATAAAACCATTTAAACTGGGTGTTCGGATTTATATGTCACTTAGTATATATGATAATCAGTTTCAATGTGCCAAACAGGTGTTTAGATTTGATATTGAGTAATATTATTTGTACTGATGAATGTGACCATGTCTTATTACTTATGTTTGAGAGACATTACTGAAATGAGGGATACATTGATATTGTTCCTGGAATTTCACTGATATGCTTAAAATCTTTCATGAGATTTGATCCATATTTAGATAATTAGGTCTTTTCAATATACTGGTTTATGGCGTCCATGGATCTGGTCAATGGATGTAGTTACGACGAAAAAGTAAAAAAGTGTTTTTTCTGTAACGAAAAAAGTTTGAAATTTTATCTCTGTTGACAGGTAACAAAGTGTCACTTTTTACGAAATTACTATTTTCCCCAGGAAAAAAACGATTACTTTTTTAGAATATTTTATTATATAATAAAGATACATTTACTTTATATCAAAAGTACAATTATTAAATGTGCATTGCTTGAATAACACGTTTCTTGAACTGTTGGTACAATAGCCGAGCTTTATTGTGTTTTCTTGATCGCAAATCCGGTGTTATTTCTGCACTGCCACACGTTCTGAACACTTTATTAGCTGTTTCTGTCCTGAGTGCTATCGATTCATCAACATACCCTTCAGCGACCGTTGATGACTTCCAACCGCCATGTTTCATTAGTTTCATCAAGTTTCCCCCAGATTCAACTAAAAGTGTAGCAGACGATCTTCGAAATGAATGACCTGTATATGAGGTAGCATTTTCAGGTTGAAGAAAATAAGTTACTGTTACGGGAACCTTATAAAACTGGTTCTTATCTACAACCTGATTGATACATCTTCCATTCTGATATGTATAAAACAGGCGGCGATCCTTTGCTTCTGCTGCTGGACGAAGGGCTATGTACATTCGGTAAAATTTAATATATTTTTCAGTAACTACAAGTCTCCTGTTTAGATCATTCTTTGTTTCCTCAAGTTTCACAATTAATAACGTTCCCGAATCTTCAATATCATCTAATGTTACCTGGCTGATTTCACAAATCCGACAAGCTCCTGCAATCCCAAATACAACAACCTGGACCATTAAATAAACTTCATCGGGAGCATTATTTACAAAATAACTAATGTACTCGTAAAAATCGCAGCTTTCTTGGACTTGTAACCTTTCCCAGTTTTGTTTCAGAAATGTAATTAGTTTGAAATATTTTGAAATGTCTACATTATTATTGGATCGTAACATACTTTTAATCATAGAATAATTCGACCACACTGTTGATGGCTTTTGTTCTTGTGCCAATTCCGAAAAATACGCCAATAGCGCCGTCTTCGACAAAGAACTGCATGTTTTTTCATCTTCCATTCCATGAATCTTGAATACGCGGTTTCGTAAATTTTCCGCGATTTATCTGGCAATAATTTTTGTTACGCTACTCTGGCTATTTCTAATAATTCCGGTAGAGTCAAAGAAAACTCGGAATCAGATATTTTTTAGTTTATAGTATTAAAAATACCTTCTAGATAACCACTAAGTATACAATATTTTTAAATCAAATCACAAAATTAAATTGACAGCTATTTGATTACCTTAAAAGTTTCCTTAGCAACGCAGGTCTAATTGTCGCTATAAGTACAAGACCCTACTAATTTCAAAATTCAAATTTCACATCGATAATTTTCTGACTTAAATGTTGTAATATGTAATATATTTTTTCAATATTAAATCGTCGTTCTTCCCGTCACAGAAAAAAAATTGTGTATTAAAACTACTAGATTTTAGTTTTCGGTTCTGACAACCTCAAGCTAAAATCTAGTACTTTTTTACCTTGTATAATAAATAACTATTTCTCGAATATTATATCATTTCTTGTACGTGGTACATTTTTCATGACTTTGTGTTGTTTCTTTTCTTCCACCCATTGAAAACATATTGGCGAAGAAAAGAAGACTAACGGCATAATATATAAGAACAGCTGATTTTAATTTTGACCTGCTGTGAAAGAAGTCTGATGTTAACTTTCCGCTAGATCTAGCGGATGTTAATTGCACCTGGCGGAAAAAAATGTCGATTTCCGATAGCGGATTTTTTAACGGAAAGCCTAGCTTTCCTCAGCGCAAAAATATCGGTTTATAGATAATTTGTCGAATCGCCTAATAGTCAAGTGATACATGCATAGATAGATAGATAGTCTTTATTGTCTTTTGGTCATAAATAGCTATGGCATAAGACTTGTCAACATTACATATACAATACATAAGTATGCGATATGCAAAAAAAGAACAGGTAGTTAATTAAAACGGTAATTGAGATAATAAATAATAAACAAATAAATCAATAAAATAGGAGTCATTACAAACACAAACAAATTCTCAATGACATCTAACGAACATGAAAAAATAAATAAATAAAATAGGAGTCATTACAAACACAAACAAATTCTCAATGACATCTAACGAACATGAAAAAAAAATCTATTTTAAATAAATAAAAACAATTGAGCGCTTAAAATGTCTAGAAGAGGAGCAATAAATAGACTGTTTCTTTTCCGTTAAGCTTAATAAATAAATAAAAAGAATAAATAAATAAAATTAAGCAGTTAGGTATTCGTCGACGGTGTAGTAACACTTTTCTGATAGATATCTTCTCAGACGTTTCTTTCCTATCATTCCTTTTTTGCTTCTTTTAGTCTTGGTAACGATTTGTGGTCATTACCTAAAGCCAGAGTCCATATTAGGTAATAAATATACGTGTGACTCCATTATTTAGAGGAAATACTTCCTATTTAGTGAGAATCAGCATACACCTAGCGAATTTATTAATGAAGAGCTGGCAACAGTGAGCGTGTTCCACTGTTGCCATTCGCTATCATTTTCCTGTTTTTTCATGTTCCTTCTCCTCCACCACTTTCAAGTCAAGTGCTTGTGCTTACGTTTACGAATTTACCAGTGGATTACACAATGCACACTGAGATTCATTAGAGAAATGTAAGTAAAGGTTGCTTTTTTTAAATGATTCAAATATTTATGGGATTTGCAATGTAAGCATCACATTCAATTTCTTGGAATATAATCAACAGTTGATAAAATGTAATAACAGTATCAGATTTTATTGTTTGAAGTTATTAATATTTACCAAAACAGCGTTAGACAAACATTAATCAATAATAAAATTGATTTTAATTTAATCTGGTACATGTAAACTTCAAACTTTCTGATTCTGAATTTTCACACATTTCCTAGAGCATAAACATGCATTATCTAAGAAATTCTAATCACTATCATGGAAACCCATCCAATATATCTCCAAAATGGAACTGCTACTAATTCAACTAATGATACAGAAAAATCACTACTGAAGTTTAAGCCTTCGTGGTCAACTGAAATATCAGTAATGATTGTTTTCCTACATTCGATTTTGAAACGTTACCTCTCAGTTCCAGATTAAGTTTCATTAAAGTGAAAACTTGTAGGGATAGTGTCACAGAAGAGACCGATATAAGGGAACCGAGATAAAGGGCTCTGCAACAT